AAAGAAAAAAAAAAGTGCACAAAGTCAAGTGCCTTTTCTGATTTTTCACAGATAAGACGAATCTTCGTCCGACAGTCGTACTTCTTTGATAATTATCCACGTTCTATTATCATATTCTAAATTACAATTATATATTACAAGTCCATTATAGATTCAGCATGAAAACAATTGCCAGAGGAATCGGGCATTTGTTTTCATTACGGAAAAGTAATTAGAATCATAGATCTTTCTCGTTATTTGAAGAATCTCTTCGGCGAGAAGAACGACAAAGTGATTTAGATTCGATGGTCCTAAAGAGACTCACGCTGTTACTTTGTCTAACCTCTACCATATGCTACATCTCTCTATACTCTGTAATATTCGTCGTGCCTTTGTAACACGGGCCAGCCAGTCTAAATACGGCGACCAACAACGACGGAATGGAATTTCTCGTTATATTTCTCTGAAGAGTCACGGCACAGGCGGCACTGGGTGGCTTCTTCCGTCGACTTTGTACGTAGAACGCGTGATCCAAGGGAAAGAAGAGAGTTATCGATCGCGGCAGTGAACGGACAATGATCACGGCGTGACCTTGAGAAGAAGGCAACGTTTGTTCGTTGATGTAGCTCGCGCGCCAGGCCGCATACCATCGTATTTTCTCACCCGTGAAGATCCAGCCACTGTGATTTTTTTCCCCCCTGAAAAGAAGAGAGGAAGAGAGAGAGAGAGAGAGAGAGAGAGTTTGCGACGATCGAACGCGAGATCTCGCTGCACGGCGAGTCGTTCCGATCCAACGACCTGATAAATATAATTAAAGAGACGGGAAGCTGAAGAAGAGGCCCCCGACACGGAACGCCGCGACCGCTTTATCATCCGCTGTATCTGTATCGCCCGATAATCGCCGCTATCGTGCAGAGGGGATGTTAATAAGATGTCGCGAGAGCGATCGGAATGTCGCTGTGTCACGACTGTTCCTTACCTAGAACCTGAACTAACGATTGTTCGAAACGATTCGTCGAAGCAGGAGATCTCTCTGCCTCGGTGAAACGAACTGTCGGGTCTGTTTCGTTGTGCTCGGAGAGATTATATTTTTCCTCCCTCTTGCCTACTATTTTCCATTGTGAGGAATTCCAAGCATTAGAACTTTGAGAATTTTTAGAAGATAATATTCGGGATGTTTAGAACAGCGGATTTGGTTTTTATGGGATTTCGAAAAATATTTCGAAAGGATGCCTTTCGTTTTAAACATTCGAAGGGTGTCTAGAGATATCATCTTCTATCCCGAAAATTCTAAATATCACCTTCGAAAAACGTTCCAGAACTTATAAATAGAAATTAGGGAATAACAATGAATCAGAAGTTACTTCTTTTCTTACTGTTCCTCGGCTTGTTTTAAACCAGCCGATTTCGAACCTTTTCTTCAACTCAACTTTGCACGCGTGTCCCATAAAAATCACGAAGGAAAGAGAAAGAAAATTTAAATGAAAAGGAATAAACATTTGAAAAAAAAAAAAAAAAAGAAACGAAGATGCTCAAAGCTTAAAACTGTAGAATTGCATTTCGGCCATTTTCACATGAAAATGCGGGAACAAAAGAGGAGAAATGAAGAAAAACCAGGACTTCCTGTCGAATCAGCGTTCTCCCGAACGAAGGAAGAGAAGCATTGTTATGTTAAAATGAAAAGACGAGCACGACGAGGAACACGGGAAGCGTCCTCGAGAGTAAAAGACACACAGAAACGTCCACGAATGGCTCGAGCCATTAGAACCAGTAGGGAGAGCACAGCTGTTGCCCGTCTCGGAGACAGCTGCTGGTCCTATGGAACGTGCCGCGAGTAGGAATTCCGTTCGAGGGTGAAGGAAAAATTGTAAAAGAATGGTCCCGTAATTCTGTCCGGACGAAAATCTGTCGGGAGGATCGACTGAGCGGAAACACGACGAACGCATTTAGATCGAAATCCAGATAAAAAACGTTTCTCCCACTAATAACCAGTCTCAAATCCATCTCAAATCCACTGGGAGCCTGTTTGAAAATTTGTGGATTGCGTGGATTCTTATATGCTGCACGTGTTATTACACAGAGTGATACGTACAAACTGTGTGCACAATTTTTATATTTAACATTCAACTTGATGTGTAGATAATTTTGTGAACTGTGTGAATTAGAAATACTCGAGGACGCGTGTGATTCTTACACATGATTTGATTTGCGCGATTGGATGGACCGTAAATTTTTCTACAGATTTGTAATTTCATACACGTTGAATTGAATAAGCTCATAATTTAAAACTGTTCAAAAAATTAATAATTCTTCTGTATCATCGTTCGGATTTTCGTAGAATTCATAATTTTACGAGAGAAAATGTAGTTCCAAAATATATATATAATATAAGAATTGCATATTTTCTGATGATTTAGTTTGCATGAGATCCACTTGCTATGGATTCGTTGAAAATTATTACAAAGACACGAGTACGCGAAAATCGCGACGTTCGAAAAATCACCAGCGGACAAACGTGAAAAAAAAAAAAAAAATCGAAAAATCTCTGGACGTTTGTAGGAAGCGTCCGACGATGGACGAACGGCTCGTGGAAGAAGCGAGTTAGCGTGGAGGAAAAAGAAAAGAAAAAGGCCGTGGCGACGAACTCCACTCTGGTTACGTAGAACGACGAAGCGCTCTGGTTGGAGCGGACGAGGTAACGCGACAGAAACGGGCATGCCATCTGGAAAGTAACGGTAACGGCACCTGCAATTAGTGCGACAGCCTGGCTCTGCCTGGCTGCCTACTTGTTCGAGGCTTGCTCGCGAGCTGGTCGTCGATGACCTTCCACCGAGGGGGAAAAACGAGATCTCCCGGCTGCATCGGCTTCGGCCTCTTCGTCTCCTAGCAAAAGGATTCCGCGTATCCGGTTTGTCCGTATTCCGCGTGGCGTCTTTGTTCGCCAACGGTTAAGGACGCCGTGTCTCGAATCGCGCATCCACAGCGTCCACACGCGAGATGAATACATTTCACTTTTTAGTCCAGAGGTGCGATAAGAACCTCTCGCAAGTCGCGCCATTTTAGAAGGAATTCAGTCTGAGTTATTTTTCGTCGAATTAATTTTAATCCTCGACAAATGCGTACGAGCAAACTCGAG